ATTCATATAACACATACACAAATTAAAAAAAAAATAAAGAACTGACAAAAGGGATTCCATGAAATTAAAAAGCTTCTGTACAACAAGGGAAACTATCAGCAGAGTAAAGAGGTGGGCTATAGAACAGGAGGAAACCTTTCCCAGCTAAACCTCAGAGGGGCTAATATCTACAATACATGAGGAACTACAAAAATTAAACAATGAAACCTCCAAATCTTCTCATTAATAAATGGATCAATTTGGGTTGGAGAGATAGCTCAGTTGTTAAGAGCACTGACTGCTCTTACAGAGGATCCGGGTTTGAATCCCTGCACCCACATGGTGGATAACAACCATCTGTAAGTCCAGTTCCAGGGGATCTAATGTCCTCTTCTGACCTCTGTGGGCATTGCACAACATGGGTACACTTACATGCATGCAGGCAATACACTCAGAAATAAAATATTAGACTTAAGTTCTTACGTTATTTAGACAATTATCTCTCATTGATGATTTTGTTCCTAATAAGACAATGCTACTCAGATGTAAGACTTCAAATCTTGGTCTGCAATACTGTAGTGACCACCTACAGCTGAGGGAGATAATCCACTATTGTTCTAGCCTAAAAATTAAATGATCGCTAAATTCATTTTCTCTCCCTATCTAGAGTGCTAAATTCGTTTTCTCTCCCTATCTAGAGACCATTTAAGAGGGAACTGATTTTAGCCACTCCAACAGTATCAAAGTGCCTGACAACAAATCCTGAGTTCATCAATCATCAGTCCAGCCCCAACAGACAAAAGAAAAATAAGAAACCCTTTGGATGGATGCTTTTGGGAGCCCCCATCAAGAAATTCCAGTGGACTTTAATTTAGACATTTTTTGGTTCCCCACCTAAAAATTGTAATACTAACTGCTCTTGCCCTTACTCTTACCTTCACTTTTCCTTCACATCTCTCAGGCACCAGTCAAACACCTTCCTTTCCTCCCTATAGTTAAGAGTTATACAATTTGGGAGTCTTTTAGATAGACCCATTGAAGGGATGAAAGAAGGCAGAGTGGTTTGCATCCCGATTCCATATTGGCATTTTGGGTAAACCCCTTCAGAAGGTGGTATGATAAGAATAGGAGATAGAAATTAGCCAGGCAGTTAGGGTAAAAAGACCCCAAAGTAGCCAGTTTCTTTCTTGGCTAAAAGTAAGCACTTGGGAGCTCTTATCTAATCCCTAAAAGATTTTAGGGTTACCTCTTCAGAGGGGGGAATATTAGAGTATAAAATCCCTAGTCTATCTGTTGGGGGACCCACTTTTCCAGTATCACTGGTCTATTACCTGGTGATAGAACTACTCCCAGGAAGGCAGGTTCACCTTAAGTTATGCTAAATAGATGGGCAGACTACCTGGTGTGTTAATAAGGTAGTGAATATTTCCTGCCTGGAACTAGCTCAGGAACCCCCCCTCCACACACACACACACAACCTCCAGACCAGCCACAGTCATGTAGGTCTCTATAAGTCTGTTTGCTTTCCTGAATTCTTCAGGAAAGTGTAATTTCTCCTTATCTTCTTCATGCCTTTCTTACTAAACACGCTTTCTCTAAGGCTTTGGGCTGCCCCTAGCATCTTGTATTTCTTCACTTTTTCTCTATAGCTTCCTTCTCCCAGCCATGTGGCTGCAAGTCAGCCAGTGTCTGACCTCCATGCAGGCTCTTTCCTTCTTCCCACTATTCACCTCCTCAAGGCAGCTGCCAAGATTACCAGCTCACCTGCCCTGAGGATTTTTCTTTAAGATTCTAATAATATTGTAAAAGCTTAAAAAAAAAAAAAAAACAAAAACAAAAACAAAACAAAAACAAAAACAAAAAACAAAAAAAAACTAAAAGAATCAATGAACATAATAGATAGCTCTCAGAAGAAGAAATACAAATGACCAATAGATGTTTAAAAGTTTTCTACATCCTTAGCCACTAGACAAATGTGAATTAAAACTTTTGGGCCGGGCGTGGTGGCACATGCCTTTAATCCCAGTACTTGGGAGGCAGAGGCAGGCGGATCTCTATGAGTTCAAGTCCAGCTTGGTCTACATAGTGAGTTCCAGGACAGCTGCGGCTACAGGAAGACCCTGTCTCAAAAAGACCAAAAAAAAACCAAAAATAAAAACAAACTTCTTTGATATTCCATCTCATCCCAGTCACAACAACTGATAGCAAATGCTCGTGAAGATAAACTCTTATTCACTATTAGTAGGAATGTAAGCATCTGTCCTCACTCACTACGGAAATGGTATGGATGAAGGTTTCTCAATAAAAAACTAAGAACAGAACTAACTTAGTTATACCACTCTTGAGTATACACACGAAAGACTTAAGTCAACACAGAAATACTTGCACATCTATGTTTACTGATATATCATTCATAATAGCTAGGAATCGGAACCAGCCTAGATGTACATTAATTGATAAATAGCTAAAGAAAATGTGGCATATACACATACAATGGAATTTTACTCAGTCATAATGAAAAATGAAATCATGACTTTTGCAGCAAAATGGACAGAATTTGGAAGTTATCAGCTTAAGAAAAGTATCCCAAATTCAGAAAGATGAACACTGCACAATTTCTCTCATATGTAGACCCTATATTTTAACGTGTGGGTGTTTGTTTGGGGGTATATGTCATGAAACCAGAAAGGGGAATGTGAGAGGCAAAAAAGGTCTAAAGCAAAGGTTCAGTAAGTAATTAAAAGAAAAGAAAACAAAGAAAACCCCAGGGCATCAGAACACACGTGCTATAAGCAGAAGGTGAGCTAGTTGGAGTCAGAAAGGGACCAGCAGGAGAGCAGAGTGTTAAAGAGGAGCAGAGGAAGAGGTGATTGACAAAGACAAAAGTATGCATGAAAACGCCATAGAGAAACTTAGTATTTTGTATTCTAATTTTAAAATCTAATCTACCTCTACATACCATTAAACACGTATAAAATTAGAGTGCATGTTGGTCTGCTGTACAGTTTGATGCACAAACACTTGATACTTTAAAGGTCACCATTTTCAAATAGATTGATGAGACTAAGCCTCTGCTCGCTGTTTAGACCACAAGCTCTTTAAAGACAGAACATGCTGTCTCTGGCTTTTGAATGTCCTGCACCATCTAGCTTTAGTCTGATCCCACACCAAGTACTCAGAAAGACAGTGTGCCTGATAGACTTGATATTTAGTCCTTGTCTCTTGCCCCCACCCTCTGGTATGCAGATGCTATCACTTCTCTTGCCGATGATCCACCTGGAAGGGAGGGCATATGCACACCAGGAACACAGGCAGCCACGCTCAATGACAACCCACAGATCCCTGATGTTTATAACAGGACAGATTGGTCTTGTACTGACAATTCCCCAGTGTCAGAAATAGAGTTACTTGATGAGTTCTAATCTATAAGTCAAGCACTAGATTTCATTTCTGAAATAGTCAGTGCATTGGTTCATTCACATGACTACAGGAGACAGCACCAATTGAAGGAAACAGAGAAGCATTGATAGTCATTCATTCGATTCGATTTCAGTTCAAAACAATGTGGAAAAGAACAAACAGTCCAACCTTCCAAAGAACTGGCCTTTGTTCAGAGACACATATTCAGGGCTTCCTAAACAGGAATGGCAAATATCAAATACTAATATATTGGTAAAGGTCCTTTCCATTTGTCTACAAAATTCCACCCACAATTTCATACTTATAAAATATTTTATTATTTTTATTTTATGTGTATGAGTGTTTTACTTGCATGTATGAAAGTATACCATATGCATGCAATGCTCACAGAAGCCAGAAGAGGGTGTTAGATTCCCTGGAACTGGATGGTTATTAGCTGCCATGTGGGTACTAGGAATAGAACCCAGGCCCTCTGAAAGAACTGCAAGTGTTCTTAACCACCCGCTCATCTTGCCAGACATTTCAGACATTTTCAATTTTTTTTTTAACCAAGAACCAGTATATACCAGAAGTGGTTTAGGGAAAGGGAGGGTCACAAAAAACAAAGTTAGGAAAGAGATACTTGGTCTGGTGCACTGGGACAAAAGGTCGGTCAGTAAAGGGCTTGCCTTGAAAACATGAGCACCTGAGTTTGATCTCCAGGCCACATGTAAAAAAATTGGGCATGGTGGCCCATATGTGCAGTCCCAACACTGGGAAGGAGGCTCACTGGCCCAGAAGCCAAGCCTACTTGGAGAGTTCCAGACCAGCGAGGTGATGTTTCAGAAAACAAGATGGACAAGCTACCTGAGAAGGTCAACACATGTTGACTTCTGACTGCCCCATTCATACACACACACGTACTACCTCCCCATGCACAGGCACACAGACACACAGACACAGACACATGATGAATACATGTCATAATCATTCACTAAAAGTGATAGCTTCTTTACAACCAAGACCCCTTCCTCACATCATAATTCTCTAAGTTTGCCCTTGGCCCCTGCTGTGATCTACAATCACTGATGTTCTATTTGACTAAAGAAAGCACGGGACCTTTGTTTGGGTTTAAAGTGTCTCCTTGACATGGGTTTGTGGTTTCTTTTCTAGACTTTTCTCATATAGATTCTGTAACTAGACAACGTGGTGAATTCTGCCTCAGCTTCTTACTAGTGGATTGTCTTCAGGATATTCCTGGATCTTTCTGTGCCCCAAAATAATATTTCATAAGCATATAGGAGTTTATAGTTAGGAAATGAAGAACTTAAGAAATGAGGCCATTATACCTGAAGAAGAAAAAAATCTCAACAAAAAAATGTAATTAAGGGAATTCTTTTCAGTACCCATCCTTGTCTAATGGGCAATTAAATTCTACTAGCACTGGCTTGACCAAGTGAATCAAATCCCAAGTGGATAAGGATGCAGTCATATCTAGAAGAGATCAGAAAAGATGTGCACATGCTGTTGGCTCAGGAAATAGTGTGTTTCCCTTCTCCCACTCATTTCTTAGTGCTCCTCTGAGAACTAGGTGAAGGTAAGATAAAAAAGAAAGTTCTTACATTCTTAAATCCTCTGTAAAGAATCTGCAGCTCTTTCTTGGTGAATTTGCTCTGGGCTTCCAGCAGCTCCAGAGCCTCAGGCCGGTGCCTGACAGTGGCCATCTCCAGTTCATCTTCCACACTGTCTGCAGAGGAAAACCAGAGAGAGTTGTAAGCATAGTTGCTGCTCCGGGTGCTTAGAATGAGCAACACAGGGAAAACAGGACAAAACACGAGCTGGATTTCAGTGGCTTGTCCCCAGGGGAAGAATCTTCATACTGACAAAAGTACTCAACATTTCTCAGATTTCACCATATTAAACTAAAATACTACTACAAGACTGTTCTTAAACATCCTATTGATCAAAGTAGATATTGCAGTTCTAGTGCTTTTACAGCTCAGTTTGAAATGTGTAAAAATTAATGACAATTGAACCTGAAATTTGTGTTTCTAAATCAAGTGCTAGTTTTATAAAAGGAATTATTATATATAACTTAAGTATCATGCAGACAACACATAAGACTCTCCAAGTGCTCTCATGATTCCACTGAAATCAGGTATTCTTCACAGGGCTACTAATGAAATGTCCAGACCTGAGGAAGGGTCAGTAAGAGGAGAAGGAAGCAGGGCTGACCTCAACCCAGCCTTCTGCAACGTCCTGGAAGGGCTGCAGCCTAGAGGTACTAGTAACCAGGCCTGCTTTGCAGTTAATGGAATGTGTACAGACAAACACTATTAGATTTTACTTTGTGACTATAGTTACATTACAATTTATCAAAGCTGCTCTGTGTAGAACAGTTTGGAGCCATTATGTCTGGGAACTGATATAAACTTTAATGAAATTTTGTAATAAGATAATGTAATATATCTTCTTCCATATGTCAGTTTTTAGAAGATTTATAATAAAGAATCTGGTTTAACTTTGCTTAATATAATTGAGCCCAAAGGTACTTGTTCACAAGTTTTCTGTCCTTAAGTAACATTTGGTGATGTGTCCAGATTTGGCCTATAGCCATGTGAGCACAGATCTGAAGGAATTGAGAGTGAACTAGGATCTGGGTGCTTGTGTCTCTTTAGTCCAGTGTCTTTATATTAGGGGGTGAGATGGACCCTAAATGAATATTCTCTGTTGGAACTCAGACCACACCTTAAAAGAAGAACTCAGCAGGAAAAACATGCTATACAGAAGGCCCCATATGCACCTATGACTTTCTTTCATTACATTCTTTTCTGTTGAGTCCAGATTCCAGATATAGAAAGGTGAGGCTGCCCAGCTCCTCACATCCCAACACCCTGCCCAAGTGCAGTTAATGTGGTCATTCTTCTGAAGTTGTACCATTTTTGACACACTCAATGCTGCCTCTCATTAACACCACCACTGACGTACTGCCCTGCTCATTGAGGGCATCAGGGGCCAGAGCGCTCAGAGGAGACTAAACAGTCAAAAGAATCTGAATCCTAATCTCTGCTCTCAAGAGCTTTCAGGAAACCAATTGTGCTAGGATAGAGCCTGATATTATTTTTCTGTCATGCTGGCAGACTGTCTTCTATACATTTGTACTTATAGACCTGGGCTGTACTCAACCTTGACCAGAGAAATTTCTTTTTGCAATGGACAGTAGTCAGTGATGAAATGCATAATTGGTTAAAGCACTGAGAACAAAGACTCAGTGCTTAGCTCTAAATGAGGCCCGAATATCAACCCCATTGCCACCAAGGGTCAGGGATCATAGTGGAAGAGGACATAGAAAGAACGTAGGAGCTAGAGGATGGGGAGGAGTGGTGGGAAACACTGTTTTCTGGACATGACTTGGCTATAATAGTCATGAACTTATAGCAGCTGGGGACCTGAACAAGACCTGTACAAGATCAAGTCAGCTAAAATTCTGACCTCTATGGGGTAGATGATCTCCAGGCCTCATCTTATACTCAGTAAATATTGGCAATGGATAGCTGCTTGGGGAGGGAGAACCAGTTTTTAGGATGTGGCCACTGGTAGGTTTCCCATGTGGATACAAGCATATATGGGCATTACCAACTGGACTCAGCGCATTATCAAGAAAAAAAAAAAAGACACGATTTCAGGAATAGGGGTTGGGATGTAAGGGAACTTGAGGGGGAATGGGAATATATATGATCATGTTTTATTGCATACATGTAAGAATTTTTCAAAAATAGAGAAAATTTTCAAAAAGAACAGGATAAAACTTTTAAAAATTAAATAGTGTCTTTACCTAAAGTAGTTGAGAAAAGACAGCTAGACATTGACACACTGACTTCAGAGGGGGCTTTCTGAGGAAACTCAAACATTAGAAACAAAACTGCTTTCACGTTCTCTATTATTTATCAACAAATGGGTTGATTCTATACTATGAGTCCTGACATAGAAAGGGTGAAGGAAGTTGCTTTCCAAGAGAGTTGTGATCAGTGGCCTGAACTATGATGAATTCTTATATTTTCCCAAACAGAAATAAATCTCACACTACAGATTCAATACAAGTGGATAATGTCAAATAGAAAAGGACCTACCTTAGTACAAGTTCTTATGTAAGCATCTTTTGAATCATATATATATATATATATTGGCCCACTATGCAGAACTGATAACTGATGAGGCCCCACAGCCCTTACATATATTACCATGTATTAGCATGACACTATGACTCTTTTGCGAGTTCCTTAAGGGAGGCTCCATCTTACATGTCAAGATATTCCCTGGATCTAACTGTCCACCACCCTGGAGTCACAGTCATTTGGTGAATGGATAGATAATAAATGAACTGATTCTGGAGTCCTGTGAACTTAAGCTTTTCTCTAGAGAAATACTTCCCAGACTGTGGTCTCTTTGCTGTCAGTGGACCTTAAATGTCGTTTAGAATCACTGTGTTCTCTTTTCAGTGTTCTGAGATACGGCATTCACAAAAGGGGAGGAAATTTTAATTGGATTTTCTGAGCAGTCTTTTCAATCTCAGGATGACCTTGTCTAGACCCAATGACCTCTCCAGTAGTGAGAAACAAAACAATGCATTAACCTCCCAACCTTTGTTCCATGCAGCAAGCCTGGCCACATTACCCACTAGGGACAGTTTCTTCTTCCTGTCACAGACTTGCAGATGCCACATCTGAGATGAGAGTCCTAAGGCTGGAGGGTCAGTCTAATTGAATTAAGTTGTGTGATAGGCTGATCATCACATGCAATATTCAAAAGAAGCCACATTCCAAGGGCCTGCCTGTGCGCTCTCTTGTTTTCCCAGCTGACTGGTACTACTTAATGACTTTTTACCTGCCAAAGGGCTGTTTCTATTTCTAGGCAGCTCACGGGCTCTAAAAACATTCCTGAAATCAACAGCAATCACCAGAGTATAAGTTTAAAAAGAAACACCACTGAACTCATCGAACTCTGATTCGTGAAGGAGACATCTCCTCTGTGGAGAGTCAGCAGGGTCCTGCAGATGACTGTCAGTCACCTTGTGACTTATCTGATGTCCCTGAACATACATTCTGGAAGAGTCTAACAGAGTGCCTAAAAGTGTTTAAATTCCTGGAATGCACCAGGGGACGGTTGAGGTTTCTTTACAACATCCCCCAAACAAAGTACAATTGTCCATTTCTCACATACATGGAGACTGAATCTCACAGAGATAAAATAATTCACGGTCAGATTTCACACTGAAGAAAGGAACGTCCATAAATTATTGATGTCACATTGTGTGCTCTTTCTACTTTGCCACACTCTGTCTTTTGGTACCAATAGGAGGAATGATAAAGATAATGACACCCTTTTGCCTCCTGAGTACTTCCAATCCCTGAAAAGTTAATAACATCCATTTCCTCCCTCTTGTCTCCCCTGTAACTATCACTGTCTAACTTGTGAGCCTTGTATGGAATGAACTGTGCTACCACAAATTCACATTCTGAAGGCTTAGCCTCTTACTGGAGGCTGGACGTGGTTCATCTTCAGAGTTTCATGTGTTGAAGCTTGATCCTTGGGGTACCAATGTGAGATGGTGGCTGGACCTATAAGAAGAAGGACTGGTGGGAAGTCGTCACTGTCCACTCCTAGTCCTGCTCTGCTCCTTCATCATGCGTTCCTTCTATGAAGCCTTTGTCTGTGATGTAATACAGTAAATGAACCCTCAGAAGAACTGGCACCATGCTAATGTGGACTGTTAGATTAGACCCTGAAAATTTGTAAAAAGTGCTTTCTTCATAAAGAGCCCAGCTCCAGTGAGTAATGGAAAATGGGTTAATACATCTCCTGTGTGACTGCATAGGGAGTGCGGGAAATATAAATAAAATAAAATAAAATGTCTTTACTATTAAATGGGTATTTTATGGTTATAATGTAAAATAGGCTTCAAGAGTCAGCCACAATCTGCTTTTTGCTTGTCTCTGATACACCTGTTATCTCTCAGAAACTGTGAATCCTGAACAGACTCATATGGTAAGATTTGTCTAAGATCAAAGTATGTGCTCAAGGTTACATCCTGCTCTCAATAGCTGCCTTACGCTTATCAGCTCTACTGTTTGTTAGCAAATTATGTAAAATATAAATTAAAAATGAACTATATATTTTCTGTGAAAAAAGTTAAACTATATTCTTATATTTTCTTCAGTACTGTTGCTATACAGCTAACATCTACCCCTATACCATTTATTTCTCAACTTGTCAATTATAACTTTAATTGTGATTGTAGCATTATAGTTTGTTTTCTCACCCACAATTCCCTGCTTCTTATTTATATGACCTGACAATGTACCACAATCCCACACTCCTAAAATTCAAAGATTCTTATTAATGTGTCTCCTTCCTCTTCTTCTTTAGATTAACCAATCAGGTTTAGATTGTATGGTTGATTCTGCACTAATGAGGGATGGGACTAAAACATTCCAAGGTCTCTTTCACTTTAGGTATAAAGGGAAAAAAACATCTTAAAAAATGTGCTTGCTATATTCAGAGGGGCTTGTCAACCTTCTGCTGATATAAACATTTTGGCTTGCTGAAATACTCTGGATTGTGTGGGCATTTCTTTGAATTTAAACCCATTTCTAAGTGAAGGTAAGGCCTTTAGAGAGATAATTAGGAATAAAGAAAGTCATTAGAGTTGGGCCCTATTCCAACAGGGCTGATGAATTTATAGGACAG